AATTCATCATCTATGTAAATGATTAGGTACAGGAAATGGGATCCCATATAGCACTATCTGTGCATGATTTTAAACTGCAGAAGGTGATAGAAGGCGAAGAGCACTCCCAGGTACTACTAAAGAGAAACAGATCAGTCGCACGCGTGGAACATGATTTGGTGTATAAACGTCTCTGCCAACAAGTCTGGGGCAATACACGTTTTATCAGCAAGACACCGAAAAAATGTACAACCCCCGACAGTGAGTATGCAACAAGACCTCAATGTGCGTATCGAAGACGATCGAAGCATCGCGACACAGTGTTTCAAAGTATCAGCGAGGGCAATACTGACTATGGATACCATATGAAGAAGAATATATGTTAACTTGAATGCACCTATTTTTAGTAAGGCGATACAGGCTTGGTGGCCTTGCCTTCGGAAAAGTTTAGGTAGCCCTGAATGCTTCCAATGACTTGCTACAAAGATTACTCCTGAACGCAAACAATTAACGTTCAAGCAGTGCCTTTAAGGTCTATTCCGCCACCTACATCTTTTCTAATGGAATACTCAAACAACTTTTAATATGCTACTGTATTTATTTCAGTAGATCGTTTTGACTCACCAAATCACGACAGTCCGTCGCATGCGACCTCTTGTGACTTCGATGCTTCGAGGACGCCGTCTCGTCACCGCAAGTCCTTTGTTTCGAAGTTGTGGTCGTGCTCCTGTGTTTGTTGTTTCTGTGTTGTTGTTGCTGCTCCTGTTGATGTGTTGTTGTTTTACCGTGACTGACTCGCAGAGTGATGGAGACCTGGGCGTTTGGTCGATCCTAGGGTAATGAGTACATGCACAAATGTGAGTATTTTGTTGAGGCAGAGCGTAGCGAGGAAATTTTACGTAGCAAAAAACCTGTGGAACAACAAAAGCCATGAACATGCAAAGGGTACGCAATCTCTTGCAGAATAAAACGAAGGGAGAGGAGCTGTACTATGAGTTTCGGGAACATTTTACTTCTTAAAAACTAGTCTCCATGGGCCATAGTGTAAAAAAATCGGTCCAGATCAGATAGTTGACAGTAAACAGAAATAAGCAAGCACCTTTCTGAGGAGATAAGGATGCGTGGACTGACCACTTTTCTTATTCTTTGTCCCCGGCGTCGTCGTCATCTTATGAGCGTTATCCCTTAGTTCTGAGTTTACGACATCTGGAATTTTAATGTTCGTTGATTGTTTACTGAACTTGTATGCTTAGTTTTTTTAGCATTGAGCTTACCCGCAAACAATACGATATCGAGCCACTAACGTAATAATCCTTGACCTGTCCAGGGTTTGAGCATGCTCTGTAATGCGATTGGTGAATGAGTCGCCAACGTATTTAGTATTAAGACTTCGAAGATGCGATCACTGGAACAAGAAGTTTATTCGCCGGAGTATTCATTTTCTGGTGGGAACCCATCATCAAAGATTATATTTTTTCCGCGGTTACCTCCGATGAGGCGTTCAAGCTTGACACTGAAACTTCAGGCAAATATATTTCTCTTTTACCGCCAGCGCATCTTTTACATGTGAACCGATTCCTGGAACTCACTTGTTGGCTTCATACAGTAGCTAATAGTCCTGACCGAAATTTACAGGAGAGAGAGAGAGAGTCCGTGACCCTTTGGGCAGACCGTTCGACTTAATAAGGCTAAATCAACAAATTACGGGGGATTGAGGCTGAATTAAAGACATCCCAGTTTTCCTTGACTGAAATCTACTGCTTTCTATACCACTGGTCCCTGTAAATCGGGATCAAACATACAACGGGAGGGCCCTGTCGCGTTGCGTGATCAGTGCCTGCACTTTAAACATCGTATTTAAATAGAGTACTCCCTATTTTGTAGTAACGCGTGCATTTGAACTTGAATTTTTTGTGTGTCCTTTGTAGTAGGAACTTCAAAGGCAATACCTAGCACGCTTAAATGTAGTGAAATATACTTAATATTCCCGATCGCAGTTCACAGGATGATGCCGTGGTTCATGTAGTAAAACGCTCGGTCTTACTTAGGTTGGCATATGACATCCAAGTAGCCAGAAGCGGCCATCCGGTCACGCTTGTCGCTGCTAGTTATCTCCGTCTGCCCTATGCACAGCCCGGCGAGGCAACCCCTTTTTCAAGGTTTG